TTTTCCACCCGGCAAACCAAATTTTATTTTTAACGAACGGTCTAGTGTACATATGTACATATGTGATGTATTCCATGCCAACCCATCACATACATTTTAATGACTTACTGGAATTTGGTTATTCATGCCTATTACGGTATCCGACGGATGCCATTCGCACGGATCTAATTCGATTCGCACTGTCATAACAAGCGAGAAGGATTAGATTCGTGCAGCGTTCGGACTGCTGAAACTCGATTCGGGAGTAAATGACTCGAAAAATCGGAGCAAAAACGAAATTTTCGGAGTAGATTAACATTTTGTTATTAGTGTAAGGAAAAATTGTTTAGGTACTTTTTCAATTCATCAAATTTTTTTTCTATACTAACGCATTATTTTGCATATCGAGCCCTTACCGCCAAAATAACCTAAGCGACATTTTTTTCAAAACTGTCTTGTTGATGCAGAAATATTCCTAGAGCATCTAGATGCATTTCTGCATCAAAATTAAAATTTTTTTTTTTAAATGTCGCTTGCGTTATTTTGGCGGTTAGGGCTCGATATGTATGCAGTGTTGCCAACTTTTGAGTTTCAAAAAGCACCAAAACTTGGAAAAAGCGTTTTACCACACTAAAAGCACTGCATTTTTTTAATCAAAGGATACATTTTTCGTAACAGTTTTTATTAAATAAAACAAAAAATAAACAATATTTAAAAGTATAAATCAACACAAAACCTTTTCGCTCATAACGATTGAATAGATGCTATTCTGATTCATGCTTACGAAGTAATATCGAAGTACTGCAAATTAAAACTGATATATCTCGAGAAAGAAAAAACCGAATCGCAACAAACGAAAATTAATTTTAAAGTACAAATGAGCAAAAAAAATTTTGGTTTTCATACCATAACCTCAAATATTCGTGTTTTTAGCACTTTAAGGTAAGGATATATCAAAATTCTGACGTGCTGGAGAAATTCTGCAGCGAGATTTGGATTAAGCACCAAAAAATCTACAAGAACCGATGCATTTTACTCACGTGCCAAACAAAAAGTCAAAATTTATCGAACTGTGTAATCAATCAAAATATGTACACATAATTAGAAAATAAAAAAAATGAATACTTAACTTACCCGCGTGCTAGCATTTTCAAAGCGAATACCATTTACCAAGGACGTGTGTTTGCAACTTCAGCTATTTATCAATCATGGTTGAAAGTTGGTGCATATAAATTTGTAGATTCTTGTAAATTTAGTGCTGCCACAGCTTTAAATATTTCGATTTATTTCATGTTTTAACTAGTATGTGTGAGAAATTTAGAGTTCAGAAAAAAGGCACTAAAAAAGGCACTATGCGCTAAACCATATTTTTTGGCGCTTTAATTTTCAAAAAGCACTAAATCTAGTGCTTAAAGCACAAAGTTGGCAACTATGCATATATATATATATTTGTAAGTATATACTACATATCGCCACTAGACACGAATAAAGGCGCGAGCTCAAAAGTTTACGGCGAAAAAAGACGCATAAAAAAACTTTAGCATCAAAAACTCTTAACGTACTTCGCCGAAGTTTTTCATAAGCATCTTTTTTTGCAAAATTTTTTTACGCGCCTTTTTTCGCCGTCAAAACACTATCGCGCCTTTATTCGTGTCTAGAGACGATATGTATATTACTGGTAGTTTTTCAATTCATCACAATCGGAGTAAATCTACTCCGATCGGAGCAAAGTCCGGACGCTGGTTTCGTGCGAATGTCATCCCTCGGATACATGCCTATTCCGGTCCGACAGACCAGATAAGGATAGAACATTGACTAAATCCCAATGTTCGAAATAATTATAGCCGCACCACAATTTGAAAAGTTTTAACATATTATTTTTGTTGTTATTGAAATTTGGTTATTTTTTTGTAAAAATATAGTTCATTCTTTAACAAAACCCGTGTAAATCCAAGCTTCAAACTTTGTGCAATATTTACAAAAAAAAAAAATCATCAAACTTTCGTAAAAATTTCTAACTTTTTTAATTAGATTTTTTAGAAAGATTCTGAGAGTATGCAGTTTTGTAGCCCATGGAATTCTAGTAGAACAAAGTACAAGTTTCAAATGGCTAAAAATTACGGTTGGTTCTTTAGACATTTTTTTTTTGTCCCATTTGCTTGGAAGAAACCCGTAACATCCTGGACAAAAAACAGTTCTAAAAATGAACAGTAATTTTTAGCCATTTGAAACTTGTACTTTATTCTACTAGAATTCCATGGGCTACAAAAATGCATACTCAGGATCTTTCCAGGAAATCTAATTAAGAAATTAAGAAAGTATTGTTTTTTCGTAAAAAATGGTTAAAAACAAATTTGTAGAGAATTAAATTTTCCCTATTTTTTATATAGAAGTTTAAAAAAAAGGAATTTTTTTGCAAATAATTAGCAAAAACTGCGAAAAAATTTTACATTATCACTGTTTTCGCCATTTTCCGACAATTTCTTTTGAAAATACATAGCATATTGAAATTCCAAAGTTGTAGAGAATTTCATTCCCCACAACTTTTATACGTACATTTTTTTGTACGACCCTTAGATCACGGCCGGGAACGTACCAAACATAGCAATGTAATGGAAGCGGCGCAAAATTCATTTCCATATAACGTCAACCAGTACAGTATGATGGCCAAAATTTCATAGGACGGATTCACAAAGATTAAGATTAAGGTCTTCAAATGATCACACAGACGCCTCCCATTGAAAACAGTGTGGTCTTTTCAAAAGTTCAACATGGCGTCTCAAATATGGCGTCTAGACTAGGAATGTTAATACCGGGATCTCGAGAAATCAGGTATAACGAGAGGCCGTTAAAAAAGGCACTTAGAAGGTTAAAATGTTCCCCGAAAATTTAAAGAAAATAATTTTACAGGGGGGGGGGGCCACCAAATACGCTCTGGACTAGTACACTATTCGGCAAAGTTCCTCGTAAATTTAGCACAGTAAAAAAAACACCAAATTTTTCGAATCAATTTTGTGATCAAGTGTTTGGTTGAGTTTTTCCTCAATTTTCTAATCTCGAATCCAATACTATTTGTTGCACTGATTTCACAGATCCTAACACAGTTATGAAGCATGGTTGCACATTCCTTCTATGGAATTGCGACCCATGGTCCTCGCATGCACATTTTTCGGTT